TTATATCGCGGGCCAAATTTGACCACCAGGCCTGAGTTTGTCGAGGGGAGGTGAAGTTTAAAAAGACAGTGGAGCACTTTCCTGTTTTACCACATGACATCACAAGTTGGAACAGAGCGTTTTCCATTTGAGAGCCTAAATATGCAGCGTTTGTGTGTTAAATGTGTGACTGAAACAAAACACAACTCCAGGTCTCCATGTCAGGCAACTAAGCCCCGATGAAGACCAGGTTGGTCGAAACATGTTGGCTTTGGCCATTTAAATAAAGGCCTGTTAACTATATTTTTCCCATGAGATTTTTACTTCTTTGGAGTGCCTGGATTCTGTTGTGTTTTAGTTTTGATCCTTCTACCTGCTTCACACACCTGAAGCAAACAGCCCTCAATGTTATAACATAGATCTGAAAATCTAATATTCTAACATTAATATTACAGTAGTACAAAACTTTACTTAAAATTGCACTGTGTAATCCTTTGCTTAAACCTTTCTATCATCATGAAGTACAAACCAGACTAAGTTACAGGTCACATCTGTGGAGAGATGACCCCTCTCACACTCAGAATACCTGTTTATTTCTAGGTATTTTTGAGCAAAAAACCATCTGTAATTGAATAAATGTAAATTAGAGCTGTTTAATGTCACATTGTGGAACATTTCAGACAGAGCAATGACATATCCATGGAAACATGCAGGTGATGGACCCCTAACCAAAAAGTTACCCAATGCCCGTTTAAGAAATAATCAAGTAACATTCATATTACAGAAAAAAAGTGTAAAATTTCACTCAAAAGCACAATGAATTACACAACTAATTTAAAAACTTACTCAAGCAAACATAAATGTAAATGCGAATGTAACTCCTATTTTATCCACCTCAGCACTTCAGATCCAGTATCACACATTCTAGAAACACACACACACGCACAAAATAAAATAAAATACTTGAAAACTCTCTGTCTGTGAAATATAGTAACAAAACAGAATCGCTGAAAATGAACCGCACTGTAATTCTCAATCACTCCACATGAGAGAGCTGGAGCTGAGTGGGTTTTGACTTGGACTCGGGGGCCTGAAGAGCTCCTCTGTGATTAGAGAGGGAAAGATGAAGGGATCGCATTTGGTTAAAAAAAGAAAAAAAAGTAAAAAGCTCTGTAAAGTTCTCAGTATTCATAACGGGTAATTAGAAGCATGAAGAGCAATAATAATTTTGACTGTAATTAGCAGGGTTTTGTGTTTGATCCGCACTTCAAAATGTGTCTCAACATTTCAGAAGTGGTGGTGGTGGTAGAAGATTTTAATTTTAGTCAGGAAGCTAGTCAAGATTAACTAGCTGGGAGGTTTGGCCTGGTGATGTGATGTTCATGAAGGAGTTTCTTTTGAATGCTTGGAACGAGATCTCATTTATTAAAAGAACTGAATCTTTTTTTCTACCAACACCAACCAAAAATCAGTGCAGGAAAAGATCTTAAAGATATTACAGTTTTAGAACACCACACTTATTCCAGCTTTTTACTGTTGCCCAAAATGTATTCTAAACTTTTGATTCATGAAAGTATCCACCTTTGGCAGATATAACAGCTGAACACACTTGTGGCTCATTCTTTTTACAATAGAAATCAAATTTTCTTCAGAAAGTTCTTCCCAAGTCTGTTGCAGAAGTTCCCATAAATGTGTGGCACTTGTAAGTTACTTCACTCTTCAATCCGTGTATCATTCGTTCATTCGTTTTTCAAAATAAAACCAAAAATAAAAAAACAAATATTTTCCTCATTATTTGTCTCCAAACCAAAATGAGAAAACGGATAACGATTAGTTTTTCCAGTTTTTGATTTTGTGTTAAAATGAATAATGGAAAAAAACGGATAATGGCCGTTTCCTGTTTACGGACTTAAAGTGCGATGCCGGACTTTTGTGCCACATATGGGCTGAACCAGGACTGAACCAGGACTGAACCAGGACTGAACCAGGACTGAACCAGGACTAAACCAGATCCCGGTCTCAGTCCCGGTCAGGTCATGGTCTGGCCCCAATCTCAGTCCTGGTTCAGTCTTGGTTCAGTCCTGGTTCAGTCCGTATGTGGCACAAAAGTCGGGTATCGCACGAGCCAATCAGCGAAGAGCTGTGAAGCCATGACGTCAAACTCAAGCATCTGTCTGGGTCCCTTTTGTGGAACAGCACAACAGTAAACAAAGCGGTCGAGATGGATGTACACAAAAATATACATTCTGTGTTGGCAAAGATTCCTGAGATCGACGATTTTAAGCCGGAACAAAGAGAATGTTTGGTGAATTTTATCAAGAGGGAAAGACGTTATTGCCCTATTGGGATTTGGTGCATTACATACGTCACCACCAAAAAAAAGTATCCGCCTACTGTCGAGCGAACGAATCCTAATGCTGCGAAGTCAGATGATTTCCACAAAGTGAAACCGTTTGAGCAATCAGGCTACCGTTTAATATGATCCAATCAGAACACAAATGGCCTCACTCGAGCCTCTCATTTGTGTTGCCAGTTCCAATGCTGAAATCCAGTTGGTTTAAACCTAACATGTTTCTCTCTGATCTGAATGGTCACTCCCTAAACCCCAGCACATGCAGCCAAACATGAATCAGTGCTAGTGCAGCCTCTGCAGCTCAGGGAGGGAACTCTAGAGGTTCTGAGCTTTCGCATGAGGCTTGTCCATACACTGAGAATGAGACAAACATGTACGTGTCCTCTGTCTTCATGTTCAACAGTTTGAAGAACCTTTTTAAAAACATGTGAGAGTGCAGGATACATACAGTCCCTTTAAGTGGGGACAAATAAAGACACTATTTTCCAGTGTAGGACTTTTAAAGTATCATTAGTGAAGTGCTGTTTCTCAAAAGCACTGCATTAAGTGGAGATAATAATGAGGCTTTATGGCTTGAATTGCTCCTTGTCGTGTAATAATAGTTTAAAAGTGCATTTTGCTAAGTGTTATATAGGCAACTGTATTAACATCCACTACCACGTGTTTGTAAATCAATAACGTTTTAGAGAACAGAAAGTAGAAGCCAGAGTGATTATGTACCTTTTTTTTTTTCTTGTACATAATTATCTGACATAACTGAATTGAAATATTTTAACAATTTTGATATTGTATTAAATTAATAAGCAATACAAATCATGCAGTGTGAAACAGAAATCAGAAAAAAATAAAAAAGTTTTATTGTCATTACACGTTGTCTCAAACGAGGAACTTGCTCCGATGTTATGGCGTCACATAAAACTGAGGCCTGCGGCTCTCGGCACATAAACTGATGAATGATTCTATGTCAGGACAAGGGTGGGAAGAGAAGTATAAATTTGAGCAACAGACTGTGAAAAATATAATTTAAAGCTCCACCGCATAACGTTTTATTTGGGGAAAAAAAAATAAAAAATCAAGACTAAAATAAAAGCATGTTTTTTATGTATTTCAATTTATTTTTCATTTTGGTTGCTTTCTATACTGAAAATAAATACATAAATAAACTAGAAAAGCACTCAGAGAGCGCAGACCTGCGCCAAGGACTACCCCCATTTTTTATATAAATTGAGATAAAATCAGTCTTCTCGATCAGATCCGGATCAGCCTTTGGAATATGAAAGAGGATCCCATTGTCCATCCCTGAGTCAAATTTCATGGGGTTTGCTCAATAATTAACTGAGATATTGAGAAACAAAATTTTTGGCCCCATTTACCACAATGTTAACTAAAATTTCAAAGTGATCCAGAATCCAGGATTTCTTCCGGATCACCCCCAAAATGAAATCAGTTCTTCCTTTTCACATTTCCAACAAATCCTGAAAATTTCATCAAAATCGGTCCATAACTTTTTGAGTTATGTTGCTAACAGACAAACAAACAAACAAACAAACAGACAAACGCCGGCAAAAACATAACCTCCTTGGCGGAGGTAATAAAAATGTCCTTACTGTGAGCGGCAATGTTCTTCAATTTCATAAAAGTCATCTAACTCCATAGAAATCATGCAGGAGATGTGCTACCTCCAGAAAATGATTTGGTGTTGCTTAAAAAAAAAAAGAAAAAAAAGGGGTAATTATAAAAAGAAAAATAGGGGGAAAAAGTTGAAATACTACCCAATTTCTATGTAATATCTGGTCAGTGTTTTAGCGTGATTTAAAAATTATAAATATATTGAAGGTTCTATCATGTCTGGGGTTGTTTTGTTTCATTTACACATGTTTGAGTAATCCTTTATTATTAGTCTGTCTATATCTAAAACTCAAAATGCTCTGTTCCACCTTATGATGTCATGTTGTGACAGTTTCCAAGTCAGCAGCTCCTTTTACCTTTAGTTCAGTAGAGAACGGCAATTCCAGGTCTGAAATTATCAAAATGATTCTTGTAAAGGTGTGTGGATTTTAAAAACACAGTGGAGCACTTCTTGTATTACTACATCACATAAGGTGGAACAGAGTGTTTTCCATAAGTAGTACTTCTGTTAATTTGAGTATATTTCGAGTTTCTTTCTTGCGTTCTTTAGATACTTCAAGTACAGAAGCATTTTTCACATATTTTAAGTCAATGTACTGACATCAAGATAAATACTACTCGATTCAAGCACTTATTAACTTATTTTCCTATTCTGATATTATTTTTTTCCAGTCTAAACATGCTTCTTTGATTTCTTCTGGCTTACAAAACTTCACTTCAAATTCCAACAAAGTCACCGTTTTGTCTCTCAAACCTCTGCAAAAAATTAAATATTAAATAAAATGAAGTTAATGAGTGCTTGAATCAAGTAGCACTTACGTTAATTTGAGTATATTTCGAGTTCCTTAAAGCAAGATTCGCCAATGTAACCAAGTATAGATTTTTATACTTTAAGTACAGAAGCACTTATTAACTTATTTTCTTATTTTGGATTTTATTTTTTCCAGTCTAACCCTGCTTCTTTGACTTCTTCTGGGTTACAAATATTCACGCATTTCAAATTCCAACAAAGTCACCGTTTTGTCTTTCTCCTCCGCAGTTACGTCCACTACGTCTTTGACCTGGGGAACGGTCCGTCTCTGATGAAGGGAAACTCGGACAAACCCCTCAATGACAACCAGTGGCACAACGTGGTGGTGTCCCGGGACGCCAACAACGTGCACACGCTCAAGATCGACTCACGCACCGTCACGCAGCACTCCAACGGGGCGCGCAACCTGGACCTCAAGGGTAAGAAACAAAACTCTGCTGATGTTTTTTGTGTGTTGCATTGTGGTGGTTCATGGGCGATTGTTGATTGGAATGTCAAAAAAAGACGGAAATTAGAATGGTGCGAAACTTAGATATCAAAGGGAAGGACCCACGCTGTGCTGATGTTTTGTGTGTTGCATTGTGGGTAATTTTGGATTGTAATCTTGGGAAAAAATAAATAAAAAATCGTACGGTGAGAATTGGGTGCGAAACCTGGACCTTAAAGACAAGAACATACGGTAGGAACATGGTGAGATGGTTAGATGAAGTGTGTGTTGCATTGTGGCTGATTTTTATGGGTGATTTTGGATTGAAATGTCGAAAAAGATGAAAATTTGAATGGTGCGAAACTTAGATCTCAAAGTGAAAGACCAATGCTGTGCTGATGTTTTGTCTGTTGCATTGTGGGTAATTATGGAGTGTAATCTCAAAAAAGACCCCCCCCCCAAAAAATAAAAAATTTACGGTGAAAACTTAGTGCAAAACCTGGACCTTAAAGAACTTGGAGGTGGATGGTGAGGTGGTTAGATGAAGTGTGTGTTGCATTGTGGGTGATTTGTCGGTAATTTTTTAATTGTAATCTCGAAAAAAACAAAAAAATATCGAATGATGTGAATCGGTTACAAAACCTGGACCTCAAAGATAAAAAAAAACCAAAGCTAATGTGGTTGGTAGTTAGGTGAAGTCTGTGTGGCTTTGTGGTGGATTTTTGAGTAACTTTTTAATGGTAATACCAAAAAAGATGAAAAATCTCATTGTGGGAATTGGAAAGGTGAGGACCAATGAACTACTGATATGCTGAGGACTTGGTGGGGCGGTTAGGTGCAATCTGTCTTTCTTTGTGGTTGATTTATGGGTGATTTTGGAATGTAATCTCGAAAAGAGGAAAAATCGAATGGTGCGAAACCTGGACCTGAAGTGCGTGTTGCTTTGTGGGTGATTTGTGGGTAATTTTTGATTGTAACAAGAAATCAAATCGAATAATTATTTTAGAAGAGAAGAACTGCTTAAAGATACTACATAAGGCATTATTCAGACTATATTTAAAATAATCTCTGAATGTGAAAGTAAAGAGTCATCTTAAGGACGACACAACTTTTAAAAATTTTTTCTCATAAATTAGCAGTTTTTCCTCATATTGTACAAACTAAACCAAAAATCTGACCGCTACAAACCCTCTTATTCTAATTAGCACAACGTTTGAGGCCATGTGAGTCACTGTATTTATCTTTTGGGTGCTCAAGTACTCCAGCTTTAATTTGCAAAACAGACTTTTAAGAGTTTTTAGCCATGTTTTTCCTTGTCCTCAGAATGATTCATACATGTTTTAGTAATATTAAAGATAAAACACCTTAAAAATTGTTCTGAAAATGTTTGTTTTCCCCGATCTCGCGCATATACATTGCTCTTAAATCAGCTGCTTAATACCAACATACTGCGCTTTGTTGTGGCTTTGTTGTGCCTCAATTTTTATGTGTTGGATGAACGGTTTGGCCCAGTCAAGGAGTGAAACAGTCCAAGTAACTTCTCCACCTCGCTGATAATGGTTGATCTGATATAGACTTTGAGGGATAGATGGTCAGCAGGTTGTGTGTTGTGTAATACGGCTTACCGACCTGTTGGAGTCTTCTGTTGAAACAGGTACGATCCAGAGTCTTCAAGTGGCTTTTGAGACCGGTCTGAAGTACATCTATAGGAGGGGCTGACAGCATGCGGCTCTTTGTTGTGATTGCATTTATGGTGAAGTACCTTAAAGGGGCAGGATAGAATCAGCACCACAGTTTTCAAGCAGACCTGGTCAAATACAGACGTCAGTTCTGCCCCACAAAGGCAAAAGACGTTAACTCGCCAGAGCGTAAAACTGAGAAAAATGACTTCAAAGTTTCTGTTTTGTCCAGACAAAAGTATAACAGGTAGGGCTCTCAAAATCTGACAAGTAGTTGCTATGAAGAAATATTTGTATGCGAAAAATATTGAGCTTTGACCCGTGTTTGTCAGTTCCTGTTTTCTGCCTTTGTATCATAAGCCTAAAATAAGGAGTTGTGCAAAAACAAAAGGCAGTAACAGACATTTGCTTGATTTTGCCTAAGCTTCCATCCATTATAAGAACACCTCACCAAAGTCGAGTCATCATGGTGTTTGTTTGAAATGATATAGAAGAGCTTTGGATTTCCTGTTTGGTGCTGATCAGTATTGTGCAGCAACACTTACACAGTTTAACAGTTTAAAACACACAAGTGACTTTGCAGTATAGTATGTACAGTATGAATAAATGCACAAAATACTTTTATATTAAAGATAATTTAAGTATAATTGAATACAAAGGTTTATTACCTGGTCCCCAAAGGGTTGACAAGGTTTTGTATTCACCCTGTGTGTCTGTGTGTCTGTGTGTCTGTCCACCTGCAATAATTCCGCCATTTATGGACTGATTGTCACCAAACTTCGTCGTCGGTCAAGCCCCCGTGTCCGATGCCGCAAGAAAAGTTTGGTGATGATCCAAGGTCATTTGAGGTCACACAGGTCAATTGAAAGGTCACACTATTATAAAAAACAGGCAATTTTGGCAATTTCTGAACCATCTGCGGCCTAAAATATTCACCCAATTATCACATAAGTTGGCACACACATAACCGAGGTACTACACTGGATGTTACAGGTTGAAACCAGTCAAAGTTACTTGAAAGTCAAGGTAACCAAGGTCAAATATGCATTTTTGGTCATAACTCCATGAAGGATAGAGCAACGGGAGTGGTCTCAAAATCTCAGAAAAAGTAAACACAGACATTCTCATGTGTGACCAACATCACACAAATGTTCATGGGCCTGTACAGATACACACACTGCAATGTGGATACAACAATCATGTAATATGGGCTGGGCTCCTCATAAACTGCTTCTGTGGTGATGAACTGACTCCACCATGGGAGACCAGGTTGATATCTCTGATTGTGCTTGTTTATTGAATATGCTCACACTCTGTTACAAGGCCGCAACAAAAAGAAGGAGGCGAGAGGTTGGATTTTAAAATAAAATATATTTATGAACTAAATCACAAACAAAGCATGCAGTGTTTCTGCCTTTTGCCTTTGCACGACTCCTTATTTTTGGCTCATGATACAAAGGCAGAGAACAGGAACTGACAAATAAGGGTCAAAGGTCAAGTTTGAGCTCAACATCTGTCACGATATTTATTCACCTGATAAAGGAGCTCTCAAATACAAACAAAATTACATTAACTCATTTTTGATGTTACAGTGTTTTGCCTTTGTAGGGCAGAGTTATTGAAAAACTCCAACTCCATAATGACTGCTTTTGTGATACAGGAAGTGCTCCTCTGTGTTTTTAAACTACGCGCACTTTCACTAGAATCATTTGGATAATTTCAGCGCTGGAATTGCCTCGATCTGCTGAACAAAAGTTAACAAAAAAGTAGCTACTAACTTGAAAACTTCACAACATCTCAAGGTGGAGCAGAGCATTTTGAGCTTTGGAGATGTAGACAGACGAATAATAAAGGGTTACTCAAAAGAAAACACAACTCTCTGTCTGTTTTTGAGGAGGTAACAACATTATAACATGACTTTAAGCACAGAAGAGTCAATTTTGGAATTTTAACACTGATGACGCCAACTTTAACTTACTTTTCTTGTTAACTAAAGATATTTTATAATGCTCTAACACTACCACACCACAAGAACACAAACTCTTTCTTGTCTAGCTTTATAACTATTCTTTGCCATCCTCATTCTGTCCCTTAAAATGTCATTAGGAGACTAAGGTCGCCACCGTTCACGCAGCTGCCATCCATTCAAATGAGAAAGCCCTTTTAATGTAGACTTTTGTTGAAGGAAAGTGGTCCCTAAAAGTTATTTGATTGACAATATATTACACGCTGGAGGCTTTGTTATGTAAGAGTGAACTGTTTTAGAAAAGGCCAAGTCTGGATGCATTAAAATTAATTTACACGGCACAGTGTTTAGTTTTTAGTTATGTAAGAAATTATTATAGATTCTTGGAGAAACCTGCACAAATTATGAATTATTCACAATTTTTGGCGTCTTAGTTTTGCCATGTCAGAGCGCTCAAACAAAAACAGAAAAAAAATATGTTTATTAGCTGTGTTGTTTAGTGTGCATGCTTCGAGACAGTATGTTCTGCATAATGAAAATAACAATGAGATTCTTTATTTAGTAGGCCAATTATTTGTAATAGCTAAACCTTTGCCGTTCTAAAAGATGGTGTGTGTGGCTCTTGTGCTTTTTCTGAATTAATTTCTGTTTGTCCAGCTTGTGATTAAAAAAGGGACTCTCAATCTTACAGACAAACTTGAATGGAAAATTGTAACCCACTTATTTTCAGTCAAACCAGTGAAGAATCTGGACCAGTTTGTACTCCAAACCCAGACTGCAACCTGAAGTGACCCAAATCTGATTTTTTTCGCCTCTATGCTCCTATATCTGATCTTTTAATGACAGTCTGAACGACACAGATCCGATTTTTTTTCAAATGCGACCCAGGCCACTTGGATATGTGCTCCTCAAACCAATACATATCCAATCTTTTGACATGTGACTTCAGTCTGTACGGTCAGGTCACATTCATCCCACCTACACGTCAGGCTCAGAGTCTCATCAATGGAGGGAAAGTGAAGATAGCGAGTTTATTAATATTTGGGGGGATCGCAGTATTCAGGCCAAATTGGAGGGGTTTTATCAGAACCGGGCGTTTTTTTTAAATGTTTGCCAAACTAAAATCCGAGCGCGGCTACAGGCGGTCCTGGCAATGTCAACGAAAAATAAAGAGCCTGCGAGCCAAATACAAGGAGGCTAAAGACTCAAACAAACGAAGCGGCCGTGGACGTGTAACCTGTCCATTTTATCCAAGAACTGGACCGTATTTTGGGAGACAAGCCCAGTGTTTAGTCGACTTCGCTGTGTGTGACGTCGTTGTGTCCTCCAATGTGGATGCGGGACACT